AAGGACTCAGCTGGGAGGGGGGTAGGAAAAGGAGCGACAGCAGCAGCGAGCGGGCAGTCCTCTGCAGCAGTGACAATACAGCTGCAGAGGGCATCGTCCCTGTATGAGCTGGCTCCTCAGGTCGTGGTCTGCACCTGTGCTAATGCTGTTCGTTCTTCTCTGCCACCCCTTCCCAGCACTGTGCTCTCAGCTCGGGAGCTCGGGAGCTCGGGAAAGTCTCCTTTTTCAGATACTTTGCTACCTAAGGAAGGGCCGGAGTCTCTATTAGGGCTACTAGTGGACTCAGCTGGGAACTATGCAGAGTTGCTGATTGCTGGCAAAAGAATCTCCAGCACTACAGAACAGTCCAACAAATGGATGTAGACAGCACAAGAAAACTGAATAGCTCATCTGGAGGCACTATAAAGCATATTTATCATTCAAACTTAAGACTCCTTGAGAAATGAGCAGCTGTGTTAGTATTACAGCCATTCAATGACAGTACTTTCATGACACAACAAGCATTCATTCTCATTAGGAGAAATTTTCTGCTGTCAGAGTAATAGTTGTTACTTTTATTCGGTTCCTGATAGCTCCTGGACCAGTAGTAGAAGTTCTAGTAATGGGAGTTGAAAGCTCCTCTGTTAGCAGCATTATTGCTAATGAAATTTTCTTTGCTGTATCTTTGATGTTGATGTTCTGGTCATCTAGAAAAACCTGCTAAGAGTTCCTGCTTGCTGTATATGCATTCAGAGATTTTGGACAAAAACCTACCTATTCTTTATAAATAGAGTGGTCTTGATTTTAAATTCATCAGTAAATTGAGCCTATTTTTTTTTTTTTTAAAGCATGTGGGATTTGGATCACCTTTCAGAGCAGCTCTCCTGTTTTCTTTTTAGTGATTATGGCTTGGGTCCTTCTACCATACTTAGAAGTATCCATGAATCTATGCAGGACTCTGTGACTGGGATAATGTGTGGACTGGAAGTAACATTTTTGGAAATTACGGGAATAACTGTGTCATTGATAAGTGATTTTTTTTTCCCCCCGGGGGCTGTGTTGCTCCCAGAGGAGTACAAGTATATTGATAGGTGCAGATGAACATAACTCCTCTGTTTGTAACTGTTCCAAAGCCATTAGTAATTTGAGTGATCAGATTCAAGGCCCTGAACTAATGTTGGCATGGAGCTGAGGTCTGGTTATTCCAGTGGAAAAATAAGAAACTAAACCGTACCTCAGAAAAGTCAGAATTACTTTCCTCTTAGCTTTAAACAAGTGTAGACTTGTGTAACAAGTGTAGACAAGTGTAACTCAGCCTGTAGGTGAAAACATGGTCTTTAGTATTGTTCTGCTTGAAATTGAGGCAGCTATCCTTGTAGGTTTAAATAATGAAAGTAAGCTGCCAAAACCTTTCAGTGTTGTATGGAGCTCCCATTTCATCAGGTCTTCCTGTTGGAAGGAATGGATGTGCTTCCATTTGTGCTGAAGTAGGTGTACCCTGAGGTTCTGCAATTTAGAGATGTTGTGGAGCTCTATCACTAATTTCCCTGTTTTTTAAGCATATAGTTTCGTAGTAGCTTTTGATGATTAGAAATCATGTCTTATTTGAGACATAGTTTCTAGCTATTACCATGAAGAGGTTTCTGTGATTTTTGAAAACACCATTGAAGGTTTACTTGGGAAAAATATGGGGGAAGCTAGTGTTAGAAGAGGCCTTCTGCTCTCAGTTCCTGCCCCAATAGCACTGACCAGTTGGCTCCTACTTCTTCATCTCCGGAGTGCCTTCTGAAGGTCTCTGCTACAGTTTTCTGGGTTGAAGTGTCCAGGAAGCAACTGAAACATCCAGGTTGTTAGCAGGAGAATGTTTTGACTTACTTGTGCTGGAGTGTGGTGGTCCATGTTCTGGAAGCAAAAGTTAAGTTGAGGAAAAAGTTGAGAAGAGTGCCAGTCTTGGTTAATCAGATAGACTGGATGAATTGCTAACTCTTTATGGGAGTAGGGCAAGCCTGTTTCTCTGGAACTTTTTCCCCCATTAGAATTTTTACTGCTGTTTATTAACTGGTTTTGACAAGTTAGGAGATATATGCAAGTGGAGTCAAATTCTTTCAGAATTTTCAGGATTTTATTGTTAAGTTGAAATCTAGTGGGGGCTGTTGTGAAGTTTTCCTGATATAGCCATTGGTTACCTTTTCTATGAACTTGTCCCATCACTTTTTAAACTTGCATAAACTTTCAGGAACCACAGCATACCATGGAAAGCAATTCCATAGTTCAGTGATCTATTTTATGAAGACATTTCCTTTCATTTATTTTAAACTTAACACAAGTTTTGTTAGGTGTCCCCTTCTTTGGAAGAAAATGTAATCAGTAATTCGCTATTCAACTTTGCCATGATTTTGTAGCCTTCTGTTTTATCCTTTCATCACTTCTTTCTTCCATCCTGAAGAATCCTAGCTTTGGTAGTCATCCCTTGTGTGTAAGCCATTCTGCTTGTTTTTTTGGCAGCCTTCTCTCTGCCTTTCATAATTTTACTGTATCCTTTTCAAGGCGTTTTCAAGCATTTTTTTTTTCATTTGAGGGGAAACAAACTATCATGCAGTGTTGAGGAATAATGCACTGTGGACTTGCACGGTGACATAATGATGATGCTTGTTTTAGTCTCTGATTTTTTTTCTAGCAACTCCTAGTATTCCATCTAATTTGTTGACTGCTGGTGAGTATGTAGTAGATGTTTTCATCCAACTATCAGACATCACCCCAGTATCTCATTCCTGAGTTATGTATAACTCAGAGCCTATTGTATTTATGACTGGATTTGCTTGTATGTCTGTCAGTATGAATTTGGCACCTCTTTTTCATCTGACAAAGCCTATAGCTCTTGATCTGGCGACATGTTTATAAACATTCGAGAGAGCGTTAGCTTTGAAAATGTTTAACCAGGTTTACAGGTAATACTTGTTAAACTGGATAAGTAGGAAATTGAGAAACTTTCTTTAAGAAAGAGAAAACAAATATGCCCCTCTGCCTTTCTTTTTTCTAAGTATTACAATTCATGTTATTCTGCTTTTATATTCTTTACTGAATTTCTCAAATAATGCACTTTTGCAAATAGTATCACAGAAGACTTTTTTGCATGTGTATGAACATTGCAGGAAATGCTTCAGAGAGCATCAGAAGAATTCTTTCCGAAGACGGAAAGTGCAGTTGAAGAGATGGATACCTCAGACACCCAGTGGGGCTGGTTTTATTTGGCTGAGTGTGGTAAATGGCATATGTTTCAGGTAACTACATATGAAATTATGTTAGCTATGATGATTTCCAAACATCCAACTACTTCTGAATTTGCCTAATTGTGCTTTTTGGTTTGTTTTAAAGACTGATTCAAACAGTCATTGCTCAGTTAGCAGTGAAGATATTGAAAGGAGCTTCAGAACAAACCCTCATGGATCTGTTTCTTTTACTACTGCAAAATTTAACTACACGTTAGACTTTTCAGGTATGTCTCTTGTCATAGAATAAATTAAATAATAGATGGTGTCAGATACACTAGTTGATGTGTTCATTCAGCAAGTTATTTTCCTCATATCTGGTGCAAAAAGTCCAGAATTGGAAAAGTCTTTATTGGAAGGTATGCATGAGATTTTGGAGGCAGCTGCACTGTTAAATTTTCTAGTGTAGTTTACTAATAAGGTAGCATGCCTTGTGTGGTAGTGCTCCAGCATTTTACCTCTGCTTACCTTAGCTGTAGGTAGTATCTAGCATACATCCGTGGGTCTAGGAAGTTTGTTCTTTAACATACAACAGCTTGTAGGCTTGAAAAATGTTCTCTTCCATTCAGAGTCTCTATAAGAAACGTTGATATGATGGAAGCTTTCTGCAAAACACTGGCATTAAAGTGATTTTGTAATTCAGCAGAGACTTCAAGCCAATTATGTTGCTGAAATACAAGGAGATACCCAAAAGGCTTTTCTAGTAAAACTATAAAGAGCTTGCTCATGCCATACTTGTAAATTACAAAATATTATTGGATTCTAATGGCATCCATCAACTATCTTTATCTTATACAGAAGCCTCTTCTAGGTCAAAGAAAATAATAGCATTTCAAATAGAGAGAGAGAGGGGAGTGGGTAGAACGGTGATGTACTGGGAGCAAAGAATTACAGAGCAATAGGAGGAGTTTGGTGTTTACTTTTGTTGAAATGTCTATTAAAAAATCTTTGTTCTGCATCTGTAATAAAAACAAAACCAAATACAAATGCTAAACAACAACTTTTACAAATCTCATAGGTCATGACTTCTTGCATGAAAAATAGTAGATAAGTATGTATAACTGATACAGTAATATATTTTGCCATACTAGTTGCATTGAAGTGAGTGGAAGTTTTGCCATTGATGATGGGGATGAATATTTCACCAATAGTATTGTATAGTATTTGCAGGTTTTGCCAACTGTTATAAACAATGATGATTCTGAGGCCAGTATTTCAAAATGTTTATCTAAAATGTTGATTTCTTAATTATTGAAAAAGGAATTTCTGTCGAGCAACTTTTGATGTAGAAGTGCTATTAAAAAAATAACACTTGAATGTTTAATGTGCTGTAGATGAATTACAGAAACTTTCATCCTAACTCTTGTTTTATGCTCAGTGATGAAACAAACCAATCTAACTACTCTTAAGCAACGTCCAATAAAGCGAGCCCCCTTTTCTATCAGTGCTTTCAGGTAAGGTAATAAAATGAATTATTTGAATTATCCTTATTTAAATTTTATTCTTGATTCTCCTGAATAAAATGAAACAAAAATGTTTTACATTATTTATATTTATTTAATTATTTCTTACATCAAACAATTTGAGAGGTGGAATCAGGCAGAAGGAAGAAATTTCAGAGGGGATGAGTGAAAAAAAAATTTATTTTTATTTTTCTCTTTTTTTTTTTGAGAGAGAGAGTAAGTAACTTGGGGAGTAGGAGAGGAATTCCTTGCAAGGCATTCTGAATACTCACATCTGTTGGCAAGGTTCTTAAAGCTATGCCTGACTTTAGCCATTGGAGTCCCTTGCTATAAATACCTATTGAATCAGAGTTGCTGTGGAGAAGCATCAGAATGGAGTTTTGTTCAATTTTAATAATGACCTCAGAAATAATTTAGAATTAATATTGTAACAGTCGAAAAGATTGATTTATATTCTTTTACCTGCATCTATTTTGATCCTTTTCTCTAAAATGATTTGAAATGACAAGAAATTGCATCATAATGACCAGTTTGTCATTATGTCTAACTGCTTTAGATTGTAAGTTTCTTACCTTTTAATGAGTCATTAGATGTAGAGCTGTGCTAATGAAAATTGGATGTTCACAAAACAATAAACTGATCTATGCAGTGATAGTACCACAGATAACATTTATTATGTGGAATGTGAGATTTTTTTCAAATAATTTCTTAGAAATAATTTTAATTCTGAATTGTAGTCTGGTTTTACTTTCAGAACAAAATTTGGCATTTGTAATGAATGTTGTAGCAAACTTTATACTGACATTCTGAAAACCTTTGTTTTTGAAGTGTCAACTGTTACTGTTACAGTGTCAAAAGCCTTGCTGAAGTCAAGGTAGACAACATCCACTGCTCTCCCATACCATTCTCATAGACAAGCTCAGGAAGCGCAGGCTGGATGAGTGGGCAGTGAGGTGGATTGAGAACTGAGCAAATGGCAGGACTCTGAGGGTTGTGGTCAGTGGCACAGAGTCTAGTTGGAGGCGTGTAGCTAGCAGTGTCCTCAGGGGTCCATACAGGGTCCATTCTTGTTCAACTTACTTATCAGTGACTTAGATGAAGGGATAGAGTGCCTCCTCAGTGAGTTTGCTGATGAAACAAAACAGAGGAGTGGCTGACACACCAGAAGGCTGTGCTGCCATTCGGAAGGACCTTTAAAGGCTGGAGAGTTGGGCGGAGAGGAACCTCCTGAAGTTCAACAAAGGCAAGTGCAGGGTCCTGCACCTGGGGAGGAATAACCCCATGCAGCAGGACAGGCTGGGGGTTGACCTGCTGGAAAGCAGCTCTGCCGAGAAGGACCTGGGAGTGCTGGGGGACAACAAGTTAAGCATGAGGCAGCGGTGTGCCCTGGTGGCCAAGAAGGCCAATGGTCTCCTGGGGTACATGAGGAAGAGTGTTGCTAGCAGGTCGAGGGAGGTGATCCTCCTCTACTCAGCCCTGGTGAGGCCTCACCTGGAGTACTGTGTCCAATTCTGGGCTCCCCAGGACAAGAGAGACAAGGCACTCCTGGAGAGAGTCCAGCAGAGGGCTACCAAGATGATTAGAGGGCTGGAGCACCTCTCCTAGGAAGAAAGGCTGAGGGAGCTGGGCCTGTTCAGCCTGGAGAAGAGAAGACTGAGGGAGGATCTTACAAGTGCATCTAAATGGCTGAAGGGGGGGGGGTGTCAACAGGATGAGGCCAGACTCTTTTGAGCAGTGCCCAGTGATAGGATGAGATGCAACAGGCACAAAGTGAAACACAGACAGTTCCATGTGAACATGAGGAAAAACTTCTTGACTGTGCGGGTGACAGAGCACAGGAACAGGTTGCCCAGAGAGGTTGTGGAGTCTCCATCCTTGGAGATATTCGAAAGCCATCTGGATAGGGTGCTGGGCAACATGCTCTAGGTGACCCTGTTTTCAAGGGATGCTTGCTTACTGGAGAACGCATGTTATACTGTGGAAATTCAGTTTTGTTATTTTGTTTATTGAAGAATTGCATTTGGTACTGTATCACAGTATTCTCTGTTTTCATGTGATGACACTGTTCTTTACTTTCAAGACGTTGATTCATTTAATCTCTTTTTACGACTTATGCATGAATGGAGTAGTGTTTACACACATATGTAGTAGTGTTTATGCTTAAAATACACATTTTTGTGTATAAACAAATTCAACCATAATTTTCAAGTTTGTACTTGTAGCATGATGCTTTTAAACACTTAAATGAGGGCTTAGTTTCTGGAGTCTTAGGCCAACCGTAATTCCTGTTACTTTGGAAAGTTCAAGCTGCATCTACACTCCACGTTTCTAAATCCTTGTTGCTCTCCATATGTTGCTTACCTTTCTGACTAGCTTTTGTGATTAACTTTCTTATCTTTTATTGCATAGATGGTATATTAAAATTGTTCATTACCATGGTTTGTTTACAATAAGCAAAGCCAGAATTTGAATACAAAATAAGACCTCTTGCCTTTGACCTTATATGACCTTTATGAGAATTGAAATCTTACATAGTTTTGTTTTAGCTTTTTTCATAATGTATTGTACAGAACAGGCATTCCAGTGGAGGAAGAAAATACCTCATGTCTTTGTGTTTTTATTATTATTATTTTATTTTATTTTATTTTTTTTAAGTTTCATCTGTGAAAATGAGGCTATCCCTATGCCTTCACACTGGGAGAATGTAAATACTGAGGAGCCATACCAGGTAAGAGCTCATATGTGAGGTGGACAAAGACATGTAGTAATGAAATAATGCATCTCAGTGAAATTGTACTAACCTTTTTCTTTCCAGCTTATTCCTTTGCAAAAGAAAACAAATGAATATAATGAAGTTTCTAATCTCTTTGGAAAAACAATGGATAGCCACCGAATTAAAAGAATTAAGAGAATACAAAATCTAGACTTGTGGGAGTTTTTTTGCAGGTGAGATTATTTTGAAAACCAATATTATTTTAGGATTGTTAACAGAGCAGATATTAAAGGCATGCAGCAAAAATATATTTAATTACTTTAATCACTTTAAAATAAAAGTACTTATGTTACTTTTTTTATCAGTTTTATCTTCATTTACTTACTTGTCATTCCTCTATGATTATATTCAAAATTCCAGGCTCTGACTTCTACATGTGCAGAACTGTAATACTTGTATAAATGCTGTAGATGTGGATGTAGCACAGATCAGATTGATGTGTTGGAAGGTGCTGGCATTTATCATGTTCAGATATCATTCTAATCTCACAAGTTGCACATAAATCAATATTTAATACCTTGATATATTGGTTTGTGAAATAGGCAGATACTACTTTTAAAGGAAAAAAAATGACAGCAAAAGTTGTCATACTGGCTAGAGCTATTTACTGCTGTAGGCTAACATTCCCAAAATGTTAGCTCTAGGGCTTCTAGAGCTAATCCGAAATGGATTGGAGTTTTGAGGAATATGTAATTCAGCTTTGACTTTGCAGAATTATTTTATTAGTGTGCCATGTTTGGCACTGCTGTCGCTCTCTTACAGTAATGTCAGACTCTTGGAAATTTGACAAAGTTATTTTTTACTTTAACATTTCTGTAAATAATTTGTTTTGAACTAAACCTCTTTATTTCTTTGTGAAAAGATTGAGAAATCCCTATTCTTTTTATGTAGAAGCATCACCCTCTCCTGAAGAATGAGGTGCTAGACTTTTTCAATTTCATACCGTTTTTAAAGAGAGGAAGCTTTGAGCAAGAAATGGTTGGTTAGCTAGTAAAGAATATGTGAAAATACCAGGAGACTGACATAGTAGCCTGTGGATGTCAGTTGTTTGTATCTAAAAGGAAGAAATCAACTTTTTTTCAAACTCCTCCCTAAGTTTCCTGTGCTCACATGTGGTCAGTGTTCAGGATGTCCATGTGGTAGGGGCAGGCCCATGATATTTATAGTGAAGTAAAGAGGAAAAAAATAAGCTTTTTGTAAAATGAACCTTGACAGGCTTGTATTAGTTGAAATCTAGTGAAAAAAGAAAAGAATATTTGGGGCTTGTCAAATTTCTCGACTTTATGAAACATACAGTAGGATTAAGTGTCCAATTAGCGTATAATCATGTCACTTCTCCAAGTTTAATGTGTTACCAAAGTTATTTCTAGTTTCTCTGCTTTTCCCTTTCATATTGTGTGGGGCTGGAAGGAATGGAAGCGCTAAGTTCTGTTTCCACTTCTTTCCTAGTATCAGTCTTAAGCAGCTATATTTGACAAAAGTGCTCAGTCTTCTCTCTAGGACAGGGAACGTGAGAGTCAGTTCTAAAGATGTATTGCGGTATTAAAAACAACAAGTTTAAATAGCAAAGAAATACTGAGGAGATGTATGAAAAATTGTGGAATATGCTTTTTTTGTTTGAAAACTATGCAATTCATTATTATATATTGAGATATATCATGAATATGCAGGAACAGATGAATTCAAGTTCCTGTTTCAGAGATTTAGCCTTCTGTTAATTGTAAATCTGTACAGTTATATTTACATGTTTAAATATAAAGAATGTATTTGCTTGGCTTTATGTTTTAACATCTGCTTTGCTATTGTGTAGTGTATCAGCTTTTAATTCAAATTAAGTTTTTGTAGAGCTGTATTTGTATCATTTTAGTGTGTAAATTTTTGAGAATAAGAATAGCAAGCAGATTTTAAACTAGATGTCTCGAGTTCTGAGTCCCCAGTGTAGATTAAAAACAGACAAACAAACAAACAAAAAACAGAAAACAAACAATTCCTGCCCTTCCCCCACCCATCAAAAACCCAACAACTTTTTTCCATAAGGAACTAATGATCATTTGGAGAGTCTAATAGTTTTCCAGGTTGGACAGTGTGTAGAATTCATGATTTGAGAGTTCTGAGTCTATGGATTTTATGCTATGACATTCTTAAAGTATGAAACTGGGAATAGAATTACAGTTTCACACATCATGAATATTACAGTATTGCCATATGACTGCAACTACAAAACAGTGTACTTTTTAGTAGCTGTATCTGAATAAAGGTATATGAAGAAAAGTCATTTTTGTTTACACTTTTTTCCTTTATGGAAAAAATACAAATGATAAGCTAACATAAAAATCGCTAATACATGTATACAACTAAGACGTAACTGCTTTTCTTTCTCTCCTTTTGCGGATTGTATGTTACCATTCTGTCATTTGGAGCAGATGAGCTTACACGCACTGATGAAGAGATTATTGCCCAATAGCATATTACACAGAAGTAAGAATCCCTGCGTTTTAAATTCACTAAAGTTCTTTTCATGGCCTTTGAGGGAAAGTGAAAGTAACAGCGTATGAATCTTAGTCTAGCAATTTTTGGCTCATGCATCTTAAGTCTGGATTCGCAGAGGAGGTGGAAAATAGCACTAAATAACACTAAAACAATAGAACAGGATAAACACATCTTTCAAGCTAACTACTGCAAGATTATCTGTCACTACTGCCATATGTATTAATGACCAAATTATGGTTATAGCAAGCAGAAAACATTGTTTTATCACTGAGATTGCTGGCCATCTTTAGAAGGAATCTGCTTATGTACAAACAGCATATCTCTGAGCATTTAATTTGCTTGAGGTTTCTCCTTTCTTAAGCAGACTGGCTATATAAGAGCCTTCTGAGCAGTGGATAGACAACTTTGTTTTACTGGATCAGCTTGTCACTGCTGGTGGAAAGTGTTAGATGATGTTTTTTAGTATAATTAAACTCCTAGAGATACAATACAGTTCTATTCCAAATCAACAAATGTCCTACTGTAGTGTCTCTGGGCTCTGCAGAACCAGCTTCCTGATCTGCTCCTTATAGTCTATTGTCAGGTCAATAATTAAAAGAGCATTGCTTGAAATGATATTTGCATCATTGTAGAGGTCAACACATGATTGTTTTAATAGCTCCTGTATAACTGACTGTCTTAAATTTGTTTTATGAAATCTAACTGGTCAAAGACTTGCGAAAAACTGTTACAGAACGTTTTCAGGCAATTTTAATAACTCTATTCTGTTCTATACTAAGAAAAGTTACTCCAGGTTACCTTTATACTTTGTCAGGGATCGTCAGGGATCAGCAGTCAGCCGTACAGGGTGCCAAAGACTACCTGAAAAATTTCAAGTGATATTCAGCATTGTTAATATTTGACAGTGAGGTGGAGCTGTTGCATCTTGAGAAGAGCAGCGGTTAGGCAGGGAATCTTGGCTCCTGTGTCCTGTAGAGTTGCAGTTGGAGTAGAAGTTGGGTGCCTGGAACCTCTCTGCCTCTGACAAAAAATACCACAAATAAATTTATTAATGCCATCTCCCAGATGCTCTTGAGTTTCTACTGCTACTTTTCTAGTTTGGAAAGCAATTTTTGCATGCCATATTAAAAAGTTGTCAATACATAGTTTATTTCAGTTTGTACAATGTTAAGAAAAAAGTTCAACAATAAAAGAGAATAAATACATCTTTCAAGCTAACTCTGCAAGATTATCTATCCCTCCTATTAAATACACTAATAAATAAATTGAGTAATGGCAATGTAATGCCTTTAATATGGAAAATCTTTGCTGCATATCCCTTTCACTGGGCTTGTTGGTAGACTGACCTCCTCAGGCTGCATCTAAACTGTGGGAATTGTGAATACTTCCCCATTTCAGGTACGCACTCCAGTTATAAGCAAATTGCTTAGTTTGGTAAATCTAAGAATGTGCCTTCCTTCTGATCTCTCCCAATGGACTGTGCTTTTGTGGGAAGAAGATCCAGGTACACGGACAAGAACAAAGCCATGATATCCTCCAGCTTGTTTTTATCTGGACAGTCAAGGACTCATCCCTCTGAATAGCCAGTGGTTTAGACATAGCTCCAGAGTCCAGTTCTTCATGGATCTTAGTGGAAAACCCAGCTGATAGAAACTCACTTGAACAACAATTGGAAAATATATCTGTCCTTTATTGTAGGAGTGTCACGGTCTTCTGCCCATGAGAATTTAATGTAGGATGACCTGTAATACATATACATATATATGTATTTTTTTTTCCAAAATGCTAGAATGATGTTACCCTCTCAAAGCAAGATGTATATCTTTTAGGAAGCATATGACCCATTAATTCATAAAACAGTTTTTAAATGATCCTATAGACATAATTTTAGGTAAAATTGTAGGTAATTTTATTTTTGATGGATTTTGTATTATTTTACTTGGGTAATTATACTTTAAAAGCTACTAACTCTGATTTTACCCTGCCACATGCTGTCTAAGCAGATGAAGGGAACAAAACAAAGCACAACATGGAAAAATAATCTTTTTCTTCTTTAAAAATAAATCTGTAGAAAATGAGCATTCTGAAAATAATGTCAAATGAACAGAGTTGGGAAAATTGGTTTAAAAATTAAACAATTGCTTTTTTTTTTTTGTGGTAAACTTAAGTTATGAAAATAGTCCACAGCATCCAGAAATTTGAGATTTCTAAGCATTTGTCTTAAGAATTCTAGTCTGTTTGAGAACTAGAATCATCTAGTCACTTGTGAAAGTGGAATTTATACTGTTTTAAGTCTGTCCTCTCTATAGTGTTTTCAGAGTAGAAACTTAATTTGATTGTACAGATGTTTGTAATGCTATATTGTTTCTTCTCTGTAGGAAAAAAGCTCAACTAAAGAAGAAAAGAGGTGTCCCCACTATTAATGAGCAGATGTTATTTCATGGCACCAGTAATGAATTTGTTGAAGCAATATGTATTCATAACTTTGACTGGAGGATAAATGGCATGCATGCTGCTGTATATGGAAAAGGTAAATATTTTCATCACATGCAACAGTTCAGCATTGTTAAGTGTTCTCTGTAATGTTCTTTGTGAGTTATTCTCTGTGTATATGTGAAGAGCTGTTTAATATAGCTCTAGATTTGAGGTCAAGTGTAATTAAGAAAGCTAGGATACTATAAGCAATATAATCTTAACCACTGGCTGGCAGGACTGGCGGGGGGGAACAGCAAAGTATTGTTGGCTCACAAGATGACCTCTCTACTAAAATGTTCACACTAAAAATATTTGGCTCACGTTTCTGTAATCTAATGATTTAGAAAATAATCACTGGATTGCTAATGAATATTAAAGAATGGATATCTTGCATCATTTTGATATCTCTATCAGTGCACTAGTAGTAAAGCTGTCATGATAAGCATGTCATAAGATTTTTTTTTGAAAGGGACCTATTTTGCAAGAGATGCGTCATATTCCAGTCGTTTCTGCAAAGAAGATATAAAGCATGGAGATACTTTTCAAATTCATGGTGTGAATCTGCAACCTCATCTGCACAGACCAGATAAAGTCATGTTTCTTGCTCGTGTATTAACTGGTGACTATATCAATGGTGATTCAAAATACATGAGGCCTCCTTCGAAAGATGGAAGTTTTGTGAACTTGTATGACAGCTGTGTGGATAATACCTGGAACCCAAAGATCTTTGTTATCTTTGATGCCAACCAAATCTATCCTGAGTATTTAATAGAGTTCTGCTAAGTCTGAAAGGAGCTGGACGGAATATTTGCTTGTGTCTTTTTTGATATTTTGTTCCTTTTGCAAAGACAACAATATAAAAACTTGAAGAATGAAAGGACAGAGGTGAAGGGGGGGGGAAGCATATGCTGGAGGTGGAGCTGTTAAATACTTAAAAGACATTGTCCAACACCTTTTAAAAATCTGTAAATAAACTTTACTGATACATTTTTCAAATGTAGGGATTACAACAAATTTGAAATGCTTAGTGAGCCTTAAATAAATTGGGCATTGGTAAGTTTTCAAAGACAAGATTTATGTTCTGATTTTTTTTTTAAATATATTACAAGTATTTATTTATGTGGTAAAAATATGCCGATGATGCAGTATGCATATGAATGAAACTAATCTTTTATAAAGATTGTCTTTATAACTCAAAAAACAAACAGGGGACTTGGCTATATATGTGTGTCTGTGTATATGTGTGTGTGTATTGTGTAGTACATGTTGCTTTGTATTTGAAGATCTCTTAGTTTGGACTCTAAGCCTACAAAGAACCCATCTGGAGAAAATGGATGAAAGGACCTAAAGTTCACCAAAGCCGCTATGTTTAATTTTAGGTACTTGGTACTGCTTCAGATAAACTTGCAGGGTAACAGAACGCTTAAAGTGGAACTTTGATTTTGACAGAAATGATGCCCTAAAGTTGTGGTTATTAATTGTTTAGGTATATAACTGTTGAGCTCAGTACTGGGATATCAGTTGTTGAACAATACACTTCTCTTGGCTTTTATTCTACAGAATTTTTTTGATATTTTTGGTATTGTGTGTGTGAGCATGCATGTATGTGCATGCAGTTGTCTTCTGTACTTGTGCTGCTGTGTTTTTTGTCTCTTCAGGTTTTAAGAAGAACTCAGTGCTGTTGTACTTGCTGTTGCTGAAGACAATGTTTAGATTAACTTTACTGGGAATAACACAGAGTTAAGCAATGAAAATTTCAAAATACAGCATCCTTTCATTTTTAAAAACTTTAATAAAAAGTTTTCAATAACACTTGTGTAGAATAGTTGTCTGTGAATCAGGTTTTCATAATTTGTATATATGTAAAGTTAAAGAACATTTTTGACATGTAGAAAGAGTAAAGAGACAAGATTTGGGTAAAGAACAAAACTTGACTACCCGATTACCTGAAGAAGGAGCAGGGGGATATTACTGTGAAATACACTGAAATGTTAAATGATTTGCTAGGAAATTGTGTCCCTACTATTCTTCTTTGTTAAAGGACTTAAGGAACACTAAGGGATAGTAATACAGGGTCTAACAGTGGATTCTTCAAGCCTAGAAGCTTGCCTTTGACTATGGCCAGTAACAAATGCTTACTGAAACAGTATATAGTATATAGCCATGGCAGCTATAGAGCGGTCTGTAGTGATCTGCCATGGAATTATCAATGGGCTTATTGAGTCAAAGGCTATATTTAAAGATTATTGTGTATAAAGTCTACTGAAAATTATATTAAAGCCATGGAACTGGAAGCAGAACATACGTTTGTATCTGGCGTCGTAACTGAGCATACAGCCATCTCTTCTTTCTCCCTAGCCCCAATAGCTCTGCCTGTTAGTGGATCTTATACAAATTGGGTGTCTGTTGTCTGTTTGTACTTAAAATTTCATGGAAGCTGCTCCTTTTGCTTCTTCTGTTTCTAAACTGTTAAGGACAAGGATGCATCTTCCTTTAGATCCTGTTGTAGGCATGATTAGTATTTGGATTCACTAACAGAATCTGCCAGAATCTGCCAGAATCTGCCAGAATCTGCCAGAATCTGCCAGATAGGCAGAAGGCACATTGCTTCCTACATCTCATAAAATATTTAACAGCAAATCATGTAGAGAGTTTGTGTATTACCAAATCCTCTTTATTTTTATACAATGTTATATAGAACATGCACTCTATGAAACTAACAAATACATGCGCTGGTGTTCCTTTGATGTGTTCTTTTACTTATTCTGAAGTCTGAACTGGGCTTTCTAGCTAAGAAAACTGAAGTTTCATATGGTGTCCCATGGACACAAAATATCTTAAGTGGTACAGAGCTTGATGATTTTTTTTTTTTCCCAGTAGCTTGTGTGCTGCTGTCTTGTTTACTACCTAAACTCAATGAAATTAAATAGTAGAATCTTAATTTGTCAAGTCATGGCACAATTACAATTCCATCTCTCTCTCTCTCTCTTTTTTTAAATTTAGTGTTCTCTCTGTTCCCTTGTGACTGCCTTTTGCTGATGAATCTTGAATCTTTAAGGTATCTGCTTAATCTTTGTAAAATACTGAAGCCATCCACAGGAGATGGAGAAAACAACTCTTCAAGATTTGAATAGCATTGAAAATACTAAGTTGGACTGTCCTTTTTTTATTATTATTTGTCACTTAATTAGAGTGACCACTGTTACGGAGTTTGTGATCTTTGTGCATATTGTAGGCTGCTGTTCAGATGGAGAAACAGATTGATACATTACTGCCTACTATACAGTGGTCTAATTCAGTGACAGCAGAGAAAAAAGTATTTGATGCAGTGATTTCAGATATATCCTTTACTTTTCCTACTCGCCTGGCTTAATTTTGTTAGATATCTCTTCAAGGGTGGGTGCAGGGTTTTTTTGTTTCTATTGTTTTTTTTCCTCCCTCATTTGGGGCTGTCCTCTTACTTAAAAGTGCTAAAGCAAAGACTAATTTTTGTGAAAAACTATCCATGTGTTCCTTGCTCGGATGAGAGATTTTGTTGCTCTAAGGGTATCTGGAATGTGAGGGCATTTGCTTCATTAAGATTACTAGCTCAAGGACATTTTCAGCTCAAAGGGGATAATAAGTAAAAGGGAAAGCAATAAACAAAATACAGGGACACAAACCTCATAGACAAGCAGTAAGGGAGACAGTGACAAAAAGCAAAGCTCTTCAGACATTAACTACAGGGTGTAGCTCTTGAGAAGGCCAACCTGAACTTTGTAACTGGTAAGAAGAGAGAAACAAGACTAACATGAAGATCTGGGGCCTGTGGGACTACATAAATTTAATTAAGGAAAGTTTAGGGAAAGGAGATTGGGAGGAACAAGGAGGGAACATCAGGGAATAGAAAGGAGGGGAGATGAAAGGGGCCAGTTGCGTGTAAGCAGCTGCTAATCAATATTCTTTTCTGCCTAAGCCCTGTGTCTGGTCACTGCAGTCTAGCCTATTTTATTAAATTCTTTCTTAATTATCTTTCAGTGTAATCTCACTCTTTATCCCATGTGTGAGTGCTGCAAGGCTTAGGTGCCGGCAACTGGAGATGCTGGAATGAGTGAATTAAATGTCAGCAACTTGTAGTCAGACCACAGGCTATAGTCCCATGTCTGTGACATCAGCAAGTGGAAAAGGTAAGGGTCTGAGCATCGGCAACTGGAGTGGGGACCACAAGTAATAGGGCTTGTGTGCCTGGGTATTGGCAAGCGGGGGGGACTGGAGTATTTATATTTTTTCCCCTAAACTGGGGTGTGTGTATATAATTTGCTAGCAAACTTCAAGATGGACTAGTCAGTGAGTAGGAGGCCCAGAGTCCAGGCATAGACTAGGCAGGCTAAGAGTCTGTTGTTGGTATTTGAGGAATCCATGAATATTGGGGTGCTGGTGCGACAAGTGTGTGAGTGCATGCATCTGTTAGCTAGTAAGCATCTAGCTGGACTTGCTAGTGAGCAGACCTCATGACAGCATGTGTGTTTTCGCTAGTCAACTTGATAAGCCGGAGAGGAAGAATGGGATCTGGCTATATATACTTATGTTTTATGTGAGTTCTGGTGATGTTATATGTGGTTGTTGTTAAAAGACAGTGCCCCATCTGTGGCAGTCTGTGTAACTGGTCACGTGAGTGTCCTCTGTGTGTGTTTGTGCCTGGAATAAATGCTCATCCACGCTACTAGTTGAGCAAATAGGAAGGCAGCAGCCACGTCCATCAGCCTGGGAGGGAGAGACCCCTGGGCACACTGGTCTGGGCTCTGGCAGCTGGGCAGGAGGAATCCCCAGAATGTGCTGGAGGCAGCAGCCCTTTTAACATCCTTTAATGCCAGTCTTAAAATTCCTTTGACCAGCATGTTAGTCGGTGATATGAGTGTGATTGTTATTAACCACTGTCCAAAACAGCAGACTGCTAGAAGAACTTAGATCTGATCCAGTATAGCCATCTACTCTTAGCAAGACATCTGCTACATAGAGACACCAAAAAATAGTGGGGACTAGATTGAATAATGTGTTTGTGCTCCCTCATGCTTCTTTTGCTTGTCCTTTCTCCACTGACACAACCCTAGAGAGTTAGTGGAAGACTTTAAAGACATAACTTTTGAGCAGCTATGAAAAGAATTTGATTACTCAGTTTTGTGTGTGTATTTGTGTGTGTGTGTTTAATGAAGACAATCCACTCATGTTGCTTATGAATTCACTGACTTTATTTTTGTTTTTTACAGATTTGAAAAGCTTATGTCGACAAGCTATGCTAGAGGTCAAACATTTTTTGCATACAAATTTTATAGCATAGCAAATGGAGAGAGACTGTGGTCACAAAAGTGGTATCCTTGTGGGTTTTCAAAGCAGTTTTTATTCCAGATGTAGATCCTGGAGTATGGTACTCAAACCTTTCCAAACTACTTGAGTAAATGGCAAGAAGTAAGGGAATTTGTGACCTGTGCAAGAAAGAAAAGGACTTTTCAGCTGTAAATTGAGAGACAAGTGTGCAATGTAATGTGCTCTGCAATTCTGGTCCCACATTTGTCCTAACTTGGAGATATAGTTGGAGAAGTCTTGCAGCCAAACTACACACCCACATTTCGTTCTTTTGGAATGAAGGCTCATAGTAGGATTGTTTGTACCTAGTTTTCATCCTGACACCTGGGCAGCAGGCAGCCAAGATAAACACAAAGACTGGAAGCTTGTAAGTTCTTTTGAGTGGATCTCTTAATTTTAAAGGACCTACTTGAATGCACAGAAGTAGGAAAGTATTCAGTGTATAGGGAAGTGAGCAAGAAAATTTGTAGTATAATGGAGAGAGGATGTACAGTATGGGAAAAGGGTGATCTGATGTAATACTGAAACTAAACTCTGCCCATTCAGACTTTACTCAGTTCCATGGAATGTCATAAAATGAGTCTTTTCCTTGTATGCTTTGAGCTGTTACTTGTTTGATACTGTTGTCACATTAAATAGGACAGTAAACCACCTGGTCCTGACTGCAGAATTCTTATCAATGCAACATTTGCCCACTGGGTTCACATTTAAAGATTTCATTTACAGCTAGTATATTTAGAGTCTTTTGCAAAAGAGCTTGTAACTGGCCTGATGAAGAGCTCGTTTTTTAACTTCACTGCTCAAAACAGCTGTTTTAAGCTGGGCCCTTCTCAGCTATTGACTTTGCTAACTGGAAACGTCATTAATTTCTGGTTTTATATGTTACCTGCCTGTTGCATGAGGATGCCTTTGAGTTTTTTTGTTTCAATATTTTCCTTTTTTTGAAAAAAGGTAAATTGATTTGCAACTGGAGAGGGATGAAAAAAAGAATGAGAAAGGAGAAATCTATCAGCATCCAGGAAAGCTGCTTGGTTCATGGGCTCAGAGTGTGCCTATCAGAAGGCTGATAGTGGAAATAACATTTTGTATCCCATTTAAAATGAAAAACAGCTAGACCAGTTTCCTATTTCAGTCTGCAAGCCAATATATGCTAAATTTTATTAAAAGGAATGAAATCATATTGAGACCAAAAAGAACAACCTTAAATGTTTCTTCTCTTTACTCAGGTTCTCCGTTGACCAGCTTTTTTTCCCCTTTGGCTAATAAAGCAATGTATTATGTAAACAAATTGCAGATGGTGATTACCTGACTCATGTTCTGGTTTCATGAACAGTACAAGACAACGTAAAGCCTGCTCACCTCCCTCTTTCTATTCCCCACCTTCTACTTGTGTTCATATTGTCATAAAGTAAACCAGATAAAAGATGTTTGTTAAGAAACTAAGCTGGGGTGAGACAGATGGTTTGGATTATTTAACAATGCAATTCAATTCCCTTTTCTGGTCTGTCACACTGCTGCATAAAAAACTGCTTGCACAGAGAACAGGAGATAGGTGTCAGGGACAAACGTGACAAGAATTAGGGACTTGTCTCTTTGGCAGCAGCACCAATTTGTGGTCCCTCCTGCATGGAATGATGTCAGCTATAAAGGTGAGAATCTACCACCTCAAACTGCATGAGAAGACTATCGTGCTAAGGCAGGCAGAGAAGACCTGAAAGGCAACACCTGTATTCTTCTGTAGATGAATGTATTTTAGTCACAATATGGTTGTTTCATTTGACAAACTGAGTTCTTAAAAGAAGGCTCACCTAATTGCCTAAAACATATGTAGAAAAAATCAACTTTAACTACATTAATTGGTATAGCCTTGCATATGGCTTAAGGTATAGGAATTGGAACAGTAGTTAGGACATGGGCTTGTGCTTCCTGGTTCTGCCACTGAAATGATGCGACTTCAGCCCGGTTCTTCACCTTTCTATGCCTCTCCTCCCCTCTCATCTTTTGTCTTACATGTTTATAACACGTATGGAGTGTGGATTTTCTCTTGCTATATATAGCTTGCCACAGAGCCTGGCTACCACCTCTCCCTGCTCTTTGTAACACACTAATGCAATCTGTATTAAGTGATGTGTGTTAGGTTACAATCCTGGTGCTGGCTAGGCAGCTTTTTTCACTTAATATCTACCTTTGAGCAACCTTTGATAGTTGTTCAAGAAAGTAGTCCCAAGTCTTCAACTGAGAAAGATTGGTGCAAATTAGGCTATCAAAGGATAATTGGATATACTGTGCTATTATCTATTAACCAGTGGAATTACTTTATTTCTTGTATAAAAGGGCTGGCTGACACGAATACTTTCTTCATACATGTGTTAGCACAGCTGTAAAAAGTGCTGCAGCTCTGTCAAAGCACTATCAACTAACTTCTGAGTGTATAGGAGAGCGGCTTTTAAACAGCAGGTCCAGACTGAATTTTTTTTACAGAGAAAAGATTTTGACCCAAACCAATGGGATAAGACAGGGACAAGAGAAGGAAAACCTGCAAAAAGAGATAAATGTAAACAATAACAACAACAAACAAAGGGAGCAAAAAGGGGAGAGAATGTAAAGAAAATACTGTCCTGAATCTGTCCTTTAAAATT